CCCGCGAGCATGGGTAATTGCTATTACTATTTATTTCTTCAATATGTTCCTCTTCTATACAACTTACATGACATACTTATTGCAGTCTTCCTTGGTCGAAGAAAAATGTGGGTTCACTAGGTGGGTCGATCCTCGACCTATTTATCCACATGCGGAGTACATCTACTACCTGCAGGACCGTATCTTCGATCTAGAAAAGGAAGTTAGCAGCGGTTACAAGGATGAAGGACAGGACGACAACAACAATGGTGCCAATTCACAGGAGGCACTCCGCAATGATCCATATTGTACCTGCCCTAACCACAAGAACAAGGGGCCTCCGCCGTCACCCTCGCCACCACCAACAACAACAATGGAAGGCTACTGTGGAGAAGGTGCAACACAATTTGCTATGTGGCCACACTACTAGGACAACTTTATCTTATTCACATGGCACGTCTATGTGTTTGTTGTTTGATTTAATTACCTAAGGCATGTTAGGTTTAGTCGAAGGAACTCTGTACCCTAGTTCGGTACATGTTCTCACATGCTATTTCATGTGTTTTGTGTGTTGAATTATATAATGCCCTACTTCGTTAGGTTTTGTTTGCAGCACGTGACTACATTTCACTACGTCCGCAATATTAAGCTGAATATTATGACCACAAATAATAAAAACAACCACATAATGAAAAGTCCAATACTATGCCACATTAAACAACACAATAATACTAGAAGTACGTGCCGACAGTAGACAACATTGTTCATGAATAAACCATAGAACTAGCAGGTCATGGAGACTACGGAGTGCAACGAGGCCAATTTTTCTTCCTCAGGGCATCTGGATTCTCCTCCATCGCTACTTTCACTCGGCATGCACGCTTAAGCTTCTTCTCCCTCTCCTCCCTGTACGCAGCAACACGTGTTCTTTCCTCCTCTTTCTTGTGCTCCTTTTTTGCAGCCTCCTTTCCGTGTCTCTTCTTCATTATCTCCTGTCCTCTGCCTCCCACCACAATAGTTCTGTATCCATTCTTTGTCTTCAGGCTTGATCTCAGCGTCGATCCACTGCTCAAAATCACAGAGCGGTGGAGGGGTCTGCAAAAAATACAATTGTTACAAAACAAAAAAATCATGCAAGATGTCATATGACACAACATCAATTCTCACCATCTTGTTAATGCGGCGCTGATAAAGTGTAGGCTCAAACGCAAAATTGAAACACATTCAATACCTCTGCCTATACGTGTCCTCTTCATCGGACTTGGCTATCTTGCAAGGATCACCACAAAAGCACATGGGCACTGGAACACCACTAGGCAGAGGCAATGGGTCGAAGACATTTCCGGTCATCCGGCCATAACTATAATACAACCAATTTCGTTCTAAGAACCGAAAGCAATTAACATTAAACCCTAAACCTAGTGTTTTCCATTTGATGCACAACAATGAACCCATAACATAACAACATGCGCTGCGGTTACCTTGGTTTGCTAGTTTTTTCACGCCTTAGAATCCTACGGTTATATAATACAAATATTAAAAATTGCATGAAATCCTAAGTAATGACGATTCTTAGGTTGAAAATCCGACTAATATATACCGAATCGATGCGAAAAAATTAGGAGGGGAGTGAGGATACCTTGCTCTCGAAGATCTACGGATCAAATAAAGTTTTCAAGGTCCAATATGCCGATTCGTGAGGTAGGGCGAAGTGGGGAGAGAAAAAACCCGAAAGGAAGAAGAAAAAAGAGGAAGAAGGCTCGGGCAGAAAGGTTGGAGCAGGGTTAAAACACCACATCGGCGCCATAGATCCTGGCGCCAAGCTCGGCGCCAGAATCTACGGCGCCGAGCTACCTGTCAAGTCACCGCCACGTCTGCGTCGAGTCCAAGACGATGACGCCGAGCTAAAAGTCTAGATTTTAAAATCTTACCTTTAGGGACATATTTATGATTTTTTTTAAAAAAAAGCTAAAAAATAAAAAAAATTCGGCATGATGGGCGCTGGGCGGCGCCACCAACTACCGCACCGTTGTCGTCAGCCTGCCATTTTCCGTTGCCTTGCCTCCAACCACGTCACCATCCAATCCACTGCCGTTTTTTTTATTTCGTGGTGGAACCATGGTGTTTGGAATTTTGGATATGGCCAGCGAAAGGAGTTCAAATGATTGGCTTCGGCTGCAGATAGGAGTGAGGAGCTAATAAATCCACTCTCATTAAACATTTTTAATAATAAATAAAGTATATGAAAAGTTATCGGCAGGATTAGTTTAGTTTAGTGGTCGAGCGCAGCCACTGCCTGGCTCGCGTACTTGGGGCGGTGCTGGTTGTTCGGTCATGCTAATGACTGGCTCTGCTTCAATTCCCTGCTTCCGTAGCTACCGACTCAGCTTTTTTTTGACAATTCTACCGACTCAGCTTTGTTCGCAGTTCACAGAGCAAAAGGGGGCAAACTGGCAGAGACAGGTCAGGCGATGAGCTTATTTGGAGAAGGTGCAAACAGGAAGGTTGGAAAACGGGGGTGCAAATTAGCTACAAAGGCCGTGTTTAGATGGCCACTGAATCGGCGCCGCCAAATTCAGGCGGTACACTGTAGCTACTGTAGCGTTTTGTTTTTATTTGGTAATAATTGTCTAATCGTTGACTAATTAGGCTTAAAATGTTCGTCTCGCAAAGTACAACTAAACTGTGCAATTAGTTTTTGATTTCGTCAACATTTAGTACTCCATGCATGTACCGCAAGTTTGATGTGATGGGGAATCTTCTTTTTGCATAGTGCCAAATTCTGGATTTTAAGGGAACTAAACATGGCCAAAGTAGTACGAACCATGCAGGCGAAGACAACCGAATTATACCTGTCGATTCTTTTTCGTTCTTTCCATTCCAAAAGTCGAGATGCCAGTAGTATCCACTGCCAGCCAAACTGCCAGCGACCAATGCTGTCCTTGTTGTATGATTCGAGGTTAGGAGTAATTATTATTCTCTATCAACTAGCTGGTACTGCAGCCCTGCATGCATGATTTGCTTTGCTTTTCTGGGGCGAGCGAGAGCATGCGGATGCGGACGACGTCCCCGCTGTCTCCCCGCTGGTCGCCCCTCTCCTGTCTCATGGCTCATGCTCGCTCTCGCTCTCGCTCCGCGAGATGGGACCGTGCCGTGATCTTCCGTAGCTTCTGAATGTTAACGTGAGGTGCGGCGTGGCTGGTTCGGCTGTTCGGCACCGGGTTTTCGCGCAAATTCAGAGACGGCTAGCTTTTGGGGGGAACCTGGAACCGCCGCGGCGCCGCCCAGAAATTGGAAAACGAGGCCTTCTGTGTTGATGATTGTTGATAGAATACGACGGCTCAGCGATTTCTCCTCGGCGTCCAGATGCTTCGGGCCGTTCTTATCGTAGTCGCATTCAGTACTCTGCACTCAGTAGGTGCTCGCCCAAACTTGGGCCTTATTTAGATCGGGTTACGAATCAGTATTTGACATTGTAGTACTTTTATTTGTATTTGATAATTATTGTCCAATCATAGCCTAACTAGGCTCAAAAGATTCGTCTCGTAATTTACAATCAAACTGTGTAATTAGTTATTTTTTTATCTACATTTAATACTCCATGCATATGTCCAAAGATTTGATGTGATGGAGAGAGAGTGAAAAAACTTACAATCTAAACAAGGCCTTGCAGCATCAATACAGTACAATGTACTGCTCTGCTTTTTATTATTGAATGAGGCCTCGTGCATACGTGTCTTCTCAATCATTGAGATGCACAGCTCAAAGGTTTGAAAGCCTCTGTATTTACTTGTATTCCTGCACACTATTGGCTGCATGCTAAAATTGTTACCGAGGTTGATGAAAGCCTCTTATTTATGAAATAATGGATGTCGATTCGGGACATCTTTAAAATGCAGGAATTTCACAAAAATCAATTTATTTTTATAACAAAAACATAGGACAATCCAAGTAAGATCTCATTTTACTTATTACTCCTGTTAGGACCCTAAAATCTTGGTTTCGCTGCTGCCTGCTCCTCCCGTCGAGCTACACGGCAAGTCTCCAGCCTACTGGGCCACCCAGTCTGGACCGTCTTCCTTGTTCTGGTGGGCTTTGCTCCTCCTTTGCAGCCCGGCCCAACTTGTACAGACGCCTGCGTCCTTCATCCGTGGCCTGGTCTGCTTCTTCTTCCTTGTTCTTCGCTCAACGCGGCAGGGTGCAGGGGGCACGGCCCTAGCTCTTCCGCTATTCCAAGTGCCCTTGGTGGCCATACGACGATGGGAGCTGACCAGGATTCAGGCCGTGAGCCTGTACAGTATGGTTCGGGGCTTCGGGCGGGACAACCAAACTCCGACCAGCCTTCGGGGTCGTTTGGTACGCCGCTGGCCCGCTGGCCGCTGCTGTGGCCGTCGACTCGACGGCGCCTACCCTCGTGCCTGTTCCCAGCCGAAGGTACGGATGCTTTCATATAATAGGGCTAAATTGATTTTGCGCACTATGTTCCCGGACACCAGAAATATCCCCTTCTGGTCTCTAAAACCCTGCGCACACTGTTACAGATGCAGGATGAAGCATCTGGATGAGCCGCTCACAATTCACATCCACATCCGGTGAAAGCATCATCTCCCATGCTGTTTCTGTTGCCACTCGAGAATCGCTGAACGGAGCGCCTTGTTTGGGGTGAGCTTGCGGTGTGCAAGTCTCAGGTTTGTCATCGGCGATGTGCTGGCGCCGTCAAGCCACCCCCTGATGGCTTCGGCTTCATATGTGAACCCATCTGCCGCCATGTGGGGGTCACTCATCACCTCCTGTCCACCATTGCATCAGATAATCAGGGGGTAAATTCAGAATTCAACTGCTTCAGTATCAAGCATCTAAACCGTTATTATTGGCACATTATTGAATCAATACGACATTTTGTACTGTGGATTCGGTGAACTACCTGAAAAATTGGACAGATGAAGTACGATGGAGGCGAAACATCTTCTGACGATGATGCAAATTGAGATGGCCCAGTGGTCAGGCAAGCGGCTTTCATCAGTCGCTTGACCTCCTCCCATACTTCCCCTGCGAGATCTGGCTGGCGCCCCGAGCCCAAGGTGATGCATCTAAGCCCAAGATGTGCCATCTGGTTGGCCTGCACAAAAGGCCACTCCCCTGCGGAGGTGTCAATGATTGAATGCAAGTTCCCTTCCTCCATTGCTTCTTCCACTATTTCACCAATCCCTTGTAGTGATCTCCCTGTCAATAGGCGAAGGATGATAATGCCGAATGAGTTCACATCGGACCACAACATGAGCTCCGCTGCTGACTTGAATTCACCCTGGTCCATATAGCAGAGTGTTCCCTTATGGTTCTCTTTAGGGTGACTTTGCAGACTGGTCGTTGTTATATCAGGTTCTCCAAGAAAGTAGCAGATGCCCAAGCCTCCCAGCTTGCTGACGAAATTGGCATCAAGGAGAATGTTTCCCAGATTTAGATCACCATGAACAATTGGATAAGGCTTGTGTGAGTGGATGAAAGCCAAAGCTGAGCATATCTCCCCAATGATCCTTGTGCGCGCCTTCCATGTCAGAGGTGGCATGTTTTTCTTGCATGAGATCCAATCCTCAAGACTACCATTTGGGAGGAATTCGTACACCAGTGCAAAATCGTCAGGACATACTCCTACCAGTGTGACAATGTTAGGATGCCTCACTCTACTGAGGACAGCAACCTGCAGGAGTCAATAGTGATGCCACAGATGCAACAATAGATATGTCACTGCTCATTCGGAAAAAAGGGTGCTATAGAATTAAAGGGAAGCGATGCCAACTACCTCTTGATAAAATCTCGCCTGTCCTTTTAAGCTTCGCGGATAGAACAACTTTATTGCTACATTTGTGTTGCGGACGAAACCTTTATAGATGCTTGCAAATCCATCTTCGCCAATCTTGAATTCTGCATCAAATCCTTTGGTTGCTTTCTGCAGCTCGACAATTGAGAACTCAGTGTTCGGAGTTTCAGTTGTCACTAAAGCTCTTTGCTTGTTCTTTTGGTGTAACGCTTTGGCTTTCATTACTGCAGTGTCTCTCTCATGCAGTAGCTTGTCATACTTTGCTTGGAGCTCTTGGAGAAGCTGTTTGCTGCTGGCAAGCTTTTCTTCATGAACCTTCACGGCGGACTTTATCTCAGTCATATGTTTGCCATGTATCTCATGTAGCTTTCTTTTTGATGCTTGAATTTCTTCCTTCTGTCTTGTCATTGTCTCCTCCATTATTTCCTGTTTTTTCACCTGATGTATGTGCTGATGCTCCAGGTCTTTAATCTGTAATAGCAATCAGCGTTTTCATGACCACCTGTTATTTGTATTAAGGACCAATGATGCAGAAAAGGAAGAAGTAAACATACCCTTTTAAGATATGAGAGCTGATCTCTTTCAGCTTTTCTTCTTCTGTTAGTTTCTTCAGACGTATCCTTTTCAAAAGATCAGTCATATATTCTGAACAAAGTTAAAAAAATACACTGAAACTTAATAATATACTGTCAAACTTACAACTTGTTCCAGTTTGAGCTTCTGCTCTTTTAAATCTTGTAAGTCATGATACAGTTTATCTCGTTGCCTCTTTATTTCTTCAATCTCTGTCCTTTGTCTTGCTATCTTCTCCTCCATATATTCCCTCTGTGCCTTCTCATTCTGGAGCAAACTCTCAACCTCTTTAACCTGTATAAGAATACTTTACATCTTGTAGCACATGCTTCCTTAGTTGAACCATAAACTCCTGAAATCCTGATGCAATGCACTTACTCTTTGAAGTGTCGAAAGCAGATCCATTTTGATTTTTTGGTGTTTCTTAGATTCCTCACTTGATTGTTTTATAAAATGATCAGTAATTTCTTCCACGTGATCTTTTGCAGCTGACTTAATTTGTGTTATACGTTGTTCAAGTATAAGCTTACGCTGATCGGAATCCTGTATTTTATCAGATAATGTGCATCGTTGTCTCCTCATTTCATCAATCTCCAGCCTTTGTCTAGCAAGCGTCTTCTCAATTTCTTTTCGCTGGTTCACCTCGTGAAGATACGAATCTTCCAACTCTTTAATCTGCAAGGAGATTTTGCCATTTTGGTCATACTGGACCTAAATGAGTAATCAATTATAGCAGGTGCTTTAGAAGTGTGTGATGTTCAATACAATGGTTAGATGGTCTACTTATTACTGTGCTTTACATATAATGCAAGTTCAGTGTGAATGTGAACCCATAAAACAAAGCTTACTCTTTGAAGTGCTGAAAGCAGGTCCATTTCAGCTTTCTGGATTTTGTTGGATTCATCATCAGCTTCCTTTAACAACTTAGCTTCAGTACATGAATCTTGAAGCTTCTCATACTTTTCTTCATCTACACTGGGTTCGTCTTCCTGTATGATACCATCCGATTATTTTAGTGTTTCCATATCGAGTAATAGCATTACCATCTGCTTAATACTACACATACCTGATTATATGCTGATGCTAGCAACAAGTAGACACTATCAGGTTCTTGAGTTGTAAAATGCGCCACTGGTGTTGTTTTGTGTGTATCACCAATAACTGAAGGTAGAGCAGCAGTTTCGGAGAAGCTGACCGCATCATCAGTTCCTGATGATCCGTAAACTATCATTCCCCAATCTGGAGTTATCATTGCAGTGAAAAATCAGTGTGACTACCTTCAAAAGAAAATTCAACCGCATGGGTGCATGGCTGAAAGCAGCTTCATTTTGCTCACATAAGAAACTGCTCCTTTTTGTAGACACATACCGCACGTGAGTATGGGTGTCTTTTCATGATCTAAAAATGGTTGGTTTAATCTGTGGCATCTATGTAAACCCATTAAATTGTTGCAGTGTTTGGGTGCAAACCCTAGGTTTATCATATTACTTTGAGCATAGGTAAATAATACAATTTATTACAAACATACATAAGTTGTAATGTCTTGAATTTATTTGTAAACACCACTGATGCCTAAAATTCATGTTAGATGACTTTAGAACTAAATTTCAAATCTCTTAGGCGTTCTATGGAAGTTTTATATGGGAGCGTATAATATTTTAACTAAATATTTGAGTCCAAAGAACTACAGAACTTTTTTTTTTCAAGTTACATCCTGTCTATATATTTAGGATAGTCACCTCCAAAAAGATAATCCCATTCAGTCATTTTTGTTGCAGCCGATGAGCTTGAAATGTATCCTTTGTGGCTTGATTCTTCGTATTCCAACTCAGTTAGTGCCATTGATCCCATTTGACTTGAAATGCTGTACACTGGTGACAGTGGTTCATTGCTTTTTTCAGGTGATGGATGTATTGCAGGAAGGCTTTCCTTTGCTTCCCTGTAAGTGTTGATATGCTTGGTTAACAATATTTCAGCATTTGCAACCCTACTGCACTGAATTTAATGCTGACTATATTTTGAACTGGGACAATCAGGGGAAGAATTCTTGTTAAGGACACAGCAGATTTGGTTACCAGCTGAAATGAAATGTACTGTTTGTAGATTTAGAAGTCTGGAGGTCCTAAAATTTCAGGTGTCAATTGAACCTCGCCCTTTACCTGGTACATATCAAATGACCTTTACAAGTAAACCACATCTTGCATGATGGAGCTGCTGTCTTCATAAGCTTGAGTGCTGTCTTTGATTTTGGTGTGTTCATCTCTCTACAGTTTGAGAGCATCTGTTAGAATGTGTGATTACGAGGTATGCTCTTAAGAAACAGCCTGGTCTAAGCATGCTAGCTTCCTATGCATTTCTTGGAAGAAGAGAAAATAAAATATTCTGTTACTACTATCAGATAACCGGCTTCTAAGAAAACTTTTAAGTATCTCAGGTCCTTGAGTTCGAGAGAGTATGGTGATGTTCTCGTTAACCATTCAGAATACTAGAAGTGAGATGCATAGTCATCTTATATGTGCATCCAGTTTAAGGAAATAGGGTGATGGCAAACACTAGATTAGGTTAGTTTGATCCATACTTATAGAAGTGTCGGTCTGCAGCTGCTCCCATGACAAGCTCGGTTATGTTATGAAGGAAAATGAGCTCCTCAAGTCCTTCAGCTACATTATCCGTCTCAATTATTACTTTCGCACAACCAACCTGAAACATTAGAATTTCATGTTCATCTTGTTGAATTCATTTAGTGACGAACATTGCCAAAGTGAAAATTGCAGGTTTTGCAGCAAATTTGTGTGGGCGGAATTGCACCTCTAGATCTTCCCCTGTGCATTTTGCTATTTGCACATACATATCTAGGCTCATCTCTGCCTTTGCTCGCTTCTGCTTTCTGTACTCCTTGATTTCTTCTGGTTTCATGCTGGTATGACCCCTCTCTGAAATGTAACAGAAATCACAAGCTGTTGGTTATGTGCCCGTTTGGCATAGGTCAAGCTTCGAGAGTTTTTGAAGCTAGGGATAAACCAGCAGGAGCTGACCAATGGCATGCCATTGAAGGCCTAGGTTGCCACCCAAATCTGGAAAGAAAAAAAAGGCTAATTTGCAAATTTCCATCATTTGTGCCAATTAACAAGGCCTTTGATGAACCATCTCTCAGTTTTTGTCCTAAGTCCAGCCCTGACGACTAGCTCCAAAAAAAAAAAAAAAAAAAATCTTGGAACTGGGGCTAAGCAATTTTGATATTGAATTGAACAAATATGTTTAAACCACTTTATTTTATCCTATAAACTTCAAATCATACATGGGCCTTGGAAACAAGCACTGTATTTCATGAATGTTGATTGAATATTGTTGCTTCCCGTTCCCTCTCTTTTCTCAGCAATTAGACATAATAACTGAGCATCGTGATGCTTCAGCAATCTCGTCTTCTGGTTGCACAACACTCTTCTCTGCTCTTATTAGCGACCATAGAGGGAGCCGAAAACTTACTCTGGGCGATCGGTGGCGCAGGGCTATGGACATGAGCTATCACAACCTCGGATCCGTCCTTGACCAAATTGTGCAGCGCCCACAGCAGGGTGTTCCTCCCGTCGCTGACCTCTTCGGGCACCGCGACGAACACCCTGTGCCCGGCCGCCGGGCTCCGCTCGTCCAGCTCGTCCTGCAGGGAGCCCGCCGACGAGGTGGCGGGGCTGCACCGTGCGCTCCACAGCGGCTCCCACGTCTCGTGCTCTCCCACGCCCCCCTCCTCCATTTGCTTGCCGCTTCTCTATGATCGAAGAGACGCTGGAGCTCGATCGGTGGTGTGACTTCGTAGGCCGTAGTACCCTGTATATGAGTATATCTGTAGTGAAAATGGGATGCCAGAAGGAAAAGAGACGTGGCGTATCCACCCCACCGGATGACGAGTCACGGCGCGCGCGAGATTGTGTATTGCTGCACTGACCCGCAGCGCCAATTAACTACCCCAAAGTCGTCGCCACTTGCCCCACGTTGCACCAGGAAACTACGTAGGACTGCACCCGCATCAGCAGCAGTACTTACGTGGCACGTACGTACTGCTGCTGATGCTGGCATGGTTCATGGTTTGCGTGTGGACCCAGCGAGCCGAGTTATTAAACTAGCAATCAAACCGACGACCCGGCGTTGGCCCGTTACAAGTCTGTGTGTGTTTCTAGAGCTGCAAATTCCTGTGATTGGTCATGAACAACCCGCCCTGCTCTTGCAAGTTGCAACAATATTCCATTCACCAAAAAAGAAAGTTGCAACAATATTTTGACCCCTCACACGAGTCGTCGCGCGGCAGAGATGTGTAGCCAAACGCGGACATCAAATTTGGCCCACCAAAATACTCTCCTATGTCAAATTTCCAGGGAGACAGGCCAGCCTTTTGGGGCTTTGCCGCGTTGGGCAGCGAGCGTGGACTTGCCGGCCCACGAAACCTCAATCCAGACTCACCACGGTTTCAAGCTGAGATGAAGGAGCCCTATTGGTTCAGAGCGCTGCTGCATGGTCAGTTCCAGCGACGCTGCCGCCGCCGCTGTTCCCACTCGAGGATCGCCGAACGGAGACTCCTGTTTGGGGTCAGCTCGTTGTGATCGAGTCTCAGATTCGTCATCGGTGAGGTGTCGCGCCCGCTGTTGAGCCACGCCCTGATCGCTTCGCCTTCGTAGGTGAACCCGTCTGCCGCGATATGGGGGATCTTCCATCACTTCCTGCAGAAGTCACCATCCAGGAAACGGAACTTGTGAACCTTGTTCGCGTCTCAGACTCAGAACCGTCATCTAATGTTGCACAGTAGTAAAGCTACTGCCTCTGCCTGTTGTTTCACTCACATGGTTGATTGGGCACACAAAGTGCGATGGCGCCGGAGCGTCGTCTGATGCAGACACCCGGCTCTTCCGGCGCAAGTCCTCAGCTTCAGTGAACGCGGCGTCTCGCTCGTGCTGCAGCTCCAATTTGTCTGCTTCAAGTATCTCGAGGATGCACTTGCTGGCCGCCAGCTGCTCTTCCTGAGCCTTTCTAGCACGATTCAACTCGGTTATTTGCTGCTTCAGCTCCTGCGCATCATCCAGCTCGCTGTAAACCGCTTCGAGCTGTCCTAGTATTTCTTGAACCTTCTGTCTCCCCCGCAGGAGAAGCTCCTGGGCTGCTTGCGACCTCTTTATCTCGCGTTGATGCAGTATCTGCAGTTTGTCTTTGAAGTTTTAACACGCATTGCAGTCTCAATTGTTAATTCTCCAAACAAATATTTACCTTCTTCATAGCACAAAATATATTCACGTTGGCTTCAAGACGAGCGGCAACGGCAAGAACCCGTTCACCGGGCGATGGTGGCGTTGCAAAAATATTTCTGCCTCCTTGCCTAATTGACAGGTGGGCTTAACAAATTTACTTCAGCGATAACAATCTCTTAAAAAGCCAAGAAAATGACTGTCTATATCCAGCCAGCTAATGACCAAGTTGGCTGAACCTCACCAAGTACATACGAGGTGTCCTTTGCATGTGAACCACATGTTGCATGAATTGCTTGCTGCGTCCATCAGCCTGAGTGCTATCTTGGACCAGGGGCGGCTCCAGGAAAATAAAGCACTGGCGTCACCGTTCACAAACTATCAATACTACTCACTTATTCCCTTCCACAGTAGCATGGTTTTCAGGCATACATATTTAACAGTCAAATTCTACAGCTATGTTTATATGTTAGTTATTAGCAAAAAAAATATAAGCAGTCCTGATGCAATGTAAGTAGCTTTCCTAACTGTATTTCCATGCTATTTTCTATTTATCAACATGAACACTAAGAAATATATCTTGTCTGCGAATGAAGCCGGGTAGTCGACCATCTCCTTTTGTTATAAGTAATGTTTTTAAACAGCATATTAGATCAACTTTTGTAGTGTAGGACTGTAAGATTATACTCTGATAATAGCATTGTAGTAACCACCTAAAACAGGAACTAACCTATGGAATCTGAAGTTTCTGCCAGTGACTTTGTTCTTATTTACCGTTATAACATAAACAATTGTTGTCATGTATATTCAGCTCTCTTCATGTCATCTCTGCTCCAGTTTAAATTTATAATAGGTAGACAGGTATATGATCATTTTACAATGTTTTGCAGCTCTGATCTAACAAAGTGTGGCATATGAGATTGTCATACATACTTTGAGTAGCGTTCATCTGCTGCTGCTCCCACCACAAGCTTGGCTATGCCGTAATGGGCGATAAGCTCCTCAAGCCCTTTGGCAACATCATCCTTCTCAATTATTACTTCCTCACAACTAATCTGCAAAATAACAATGACAGCAATGTAGTGGAATTAGCCAATTAGGTGCACTTGAATCATATGTTTGTGCAATATGTTTTTTCATTGTTTTGTAGTTTGTAGATAAAGGCATCGTTGTTTTGCATACTACACTAAGTAGTTTATTTGAAAATAAGGAGGGGGTTACAGAGATGTGGATCGAACCTTTCGTCGTTTACACATCATTTCATATTCAGGGAGTTTCTTCTCTGCCTTCTCTCGCCCTTTGTTTGAATTTGTCCTGGTACTGTCAGTTTTTATCCCCACTGAAACAACAGAGACGAATTCGTTGGGACTCAAAAGGTGCTGAAGCAGACCCTTTCTCCTGAAGCAAGTGTATGGATCAAGGTGGAATGCCTCACGCCTGAGTTTTTGTTATGCTTTGTTCGGTTGCAAATCAATCCAAAGGGATTGGAGGGGATATCCCTAGCAAGACAAAATCCCCTCCAACCCCCATAGATTGGGGAATAACCAAATAAGGCCTTAATGTTTTTTGAATCCACGTAAGCCATTGTTTGGATGTTGTCAGATTCATCTCAATCCACATGTTTTGGGGTGGATGGGGGTACAATTTAGTTTAAGTTCCACTCCAATTCACCCCAACCTATATGGATTGATGCGAATCCGACTACATCCAAAGAAGGCCCAAACATCTTTTGAGTTCCACTGCCCTTTCACATTTTTCTATGGAATATCAGATGCCATCAACTGATTTTATGAATTTATAATGTTAGTTGATGGTATCAATTGTACAATTCTATTAAACAGAATCCGACAAACCCTAAACCCTAAACCCTAGATCCTAAACATCTTTTGAGTTCCACTGCCCTTTCACATTTTTCTATGGAATATCAGATGTCATCAACTGATTTTACGAATTTACAATGTTCGTTAATGGTATCGATCGTACAGTTCTATTAAACAGAATCAACAATTTCATGATTTTAATAATTATGATTCTAGATTTGCGATTCTAGAGTTCAGCATCGTGATTTTAAAAGTGAAACCCAAAGTCATGGGCCGATTACTCGGTGCTGGGAGAAAGAAGATCCGTTGACATCAACCAAAAATAACGCAACTGGTACTGGTACTTGCCTGCTGAGATCGCTACTTGTGAGGGACGGTGTACACGGGCTATGACGATTGTGGCGCCATCTTTGGCCAGGTTCTGGAGCGCCCACAGGAAGGCGCTCCTCCCGTTCTACGCGGCGACGGCCACGAAAACCTTGTCCCCTACCGGCCCACTAGCCTCCCTGTACTCAGCCTACTCGGTTGCGCGGTCCATGTCCCCGGCGGCGTTCCTCGACGTCCTCTCACTCCTTTTTTTTTGAAACTCTCACTCCTGAAGACTGAAGTGGAAGGGTGTGAGCGGGTGATGTTATTACGGGTGTGGTTGGTTCACTTTCTCACCAAGACTGGCTAACAAAACTATCATACAAGTGACCTATGTTTGCTTGCCTGTCTAAGTCTGACTAAAAATCGATGTATTTGGTTGTTTGATTTAGTTTGCATAGAATCACCTCTTTCTTCAACCGGTAAGTTTACCCCCTTTGAGGACTTCAATCGAATAGGTAGTGGGCATGCTCGCGAGCACCTCGGTGAACGAGCACAACCCAAGGCCACGACGTTCGACTGAAAGCTCGGCTGGATCTACCGGACCTCCAGTTTCTTCCTCTTGCCACGACATCCTCTACCTCCTTCCATGGCGGACTCTAAAGGATGTCCACGAGCGGCACTGTTGCCGAGCGAGCCCAAGGCCGTGACGCCGCCGCGCCACACAGAGGTGGCAGAGGTCCGTGCGGTTCCCGGTGGAGGGGGCCAGGCCCCGTGCGAGCGCGGAGGGGGTAGAGGTCCGTGCTGTTCCCGTGGAGAATGCGTAGACACCCGGCGGAGCTCGTGCTGGGTCCTGGCGTAGCATGCGTGGAGGGTCAGGCGGAGCGTGCGTGGGTCTTGGCGGAGCACGCGCGCGGAGGCCTGGTGAAGCTCGTGGGTAAAAGGTCCTAATAGCTAGAAGGGGGTAAATAGCCTATAAAAATTTCTACAACAACACTACAAAAAGCGGTTAGACAAATATGAGGCGAAGCGAATGTTGCGCTAGCCTACTAAGAATGCAAGCCACCTACCACAATTCTAGTTGCTATTGTCTATAATCACTCAAAGGCTATGTCACTACACTAAATTAGTGAGCTCTCAAAAACTAACTAAAGAACCTCACTAACCACTAGACACGACTTTTGCTTGCCCTCAAAACTAGCTACACTAAAGGGCCAAGCTACACTAAGAAATGTAAATGCACGGGAAGGATGGAGTATTATGCCGCCGTGTAGAGGAATGAGCCAATCACCAAAGAAGCCAATCAATCACAAGAATGAATACCAATGAAGACCAATCACCTCGGAATCAATTGATGACACAATGATTTTTTATCGAGGTTCACTTGCTTGCCG